GCATGACTCCACCTATGAAATGTATTCCCGGTGTCGTTATAGGCAAGTTACTAAAGCAAAGAAATTGTAGCCAGAAGTTTACAAAGTTCTGAACGATGTTGTAAATATGAGGTTAATTTATAGAAACAAAAGTATAAAATATAGTAGGATCCTCATGATACTTTGTGAGATGAGGAATAACTGTGGTACTCTTTTGTACCATTTAAAGATTTGCTGATTGTCTTATGACAAATCATTTTCCCCCAAATTAAAGATGTGCTAATATTAAGATTTATTTTGGGGGGCGCCTGGGTGGCTCAGTTGGTTAAGCGTCTGCCTTCAGCTCAGGTCATGATCCCAGGGTCCTGGGTTCGAGCCCCGCATCGGGCTCACTGCTCGGCAGGGAGCCTGCTTCTCCCTCTCCCTCTGCCTGCCACTCTATCTGTGCTCTCTCTCTATCTCTCTGTCAAATAAATAAATAAATAAATCTTAAAAAAAAAAATAAATAACTGGTGCATCTGATAACATGTGGCCTCAGCAAGAAACTACAGAAAGACATTCTTATTCCTGCTGTACATTTTTTTTTTTAAAGATTTTATTTATTTATTTGAGAGAGAGAAAGAGACAGAGAGAGAGAGCATGAGAGGGGGGAGGATCAGAGGGAGAAGCAGACCCCCTGCCAAGCAAGGAGCCCGATATGGGACTCGATCCCGGGACTCCAGGATCATGACCCGAGCCGAAGGCAGTCGCCTAACCAACTGAGCCACCCAGGCGCCCTCCTGCTGTACATTTGCACAGAGCTCAATGGCACATACTTCAAGAAGCATATCCGTATCTGATATTATAGCTCTTTCCCAACAGATTTATAGGACGTTAAAGTCACGGGGTGGGGGGACACCTTGTTAACCAGAGACGGTATCATAGAATCATAGATCTAGAAGGGCAATATTTCATACAGGTGTTGACTTGAAGCAGAACTAGGTTTGAATCATTCCCAAAAGATACATTTGCTCTTTAATAATAATAAAAATGATCCAGAGACAATTGTAACTTTCTGTGGTTAGATATTTCAGAAGGTCACAACTAAACTCCTAAAAAGTACTTCCTATTCTTCACCTTTAGTCTGCATATAGTAGCATAAGCATATTTTTGAGGCCATTCATTCAGTAACTTTATAAACAGCATTGGCCATAAAGTTTTGCAATTGTGTCTCCCTTCTCTTGGTCACCTTATTCTTAGTTTGGGGGCAGTGCTTGGTATATTTTTATGTGTTTAAAGGTTACCACCACTTGGGGTGCCTGGGTGGCTCAGTCAATTGAGCCTCCCACTCTTGTTTTTTTTGCCTAGGTCATGATCTCAGGGTCCTGGGATCGAGCCACATACCAGGTTCTGTGCTTTGCAGGAAGTCTGCTTGAGATTCTCTCCCTCTCCCTCCCTGCCCTCCCCTCTCTCTCTTTCTCAAATAAATCTTTATTTTTTTTTTTAAAGATTTTATTTATTTGACAAAGAGAGACACAGCGAGAGAGGGAATACAAGCAAGGGGAGAGGGAGAGGGAGAAGCAGGCTTCCCGCGGAGCAGGGAGCCCGATGCAGGGCTCGATCCCAGGACCCTGGGATCATGAATCAAGCAGAAGGCAGACGCTTAACGACTGAGCCACCCGGGTGCCCCTCAAATAAATCTTAAAAAAAAAAAATTATCACCACTTCTGGCATCCCTGGTACTCATAATGATGGGGATTAATAAATTGTGATAGTAAGAATATTAGACTTGGGGGTGCCTGGGTGGGTCAATTGATGAAGCATCCGACTCTTGATCTCAGCTCAGCTGTTGATGTCAGAGTTGTCAGTTCAAGGCCCACGTTGGACTCCACACTGGGCATGGAGTCTACTTAAAAAGAAAAAAAAAAAGAGAATTTTAGATTTGGAGTCTACAAATCAAATGTGAGTTCTGGCTTAAGATGGTGCTTACAATATTGTGGATGCTCGGTGAATATTTGTTCTCTTGTCCTTTTCTCTGTGAAGCTGGATGATTGACAGACTCTCTGTGAGCAGCAGTTTTCTTACCTACGAAATGGGAGATATGGAAATCATATGAGATGTTTTTTAAAACACTCACTAACCCTATGAAGCATTATGTAATTGTGAATTATTATAAGGAAATGAGAATTTAAAAATATAAGAAAAACTTCTCTGAGGTTGACTCTCAAAGGTCAGAGAGTCAACTTGGACATTGTCTTCCCCCCACCCACTACCAGATTTTGAGTTCAGAGAGATTTTTTTACTTGATAAACACAGACCTCAGGCCAGCCTTTCTTCATTCTGGCCAGCACGGCACTTAGCAGTAATCAATCCCCCAGTGAATTCTAAATGAGGGTCCTGACTTGTGCTGAATTTGCCTTGGAGGTTTTTCAGTACAAAGATTTTTTTAATGTGTTTCATTAGAAGTTATAATGAATTATCGATCAAATATTGCAGATTACTTTGCCCAATGGTGTAAAGAATATACATAGATTTTTCTAAACAGGCTTTTTTTTTTTTTTTTTTAATCAGAAGTTAAGAGAACAGCATCATTTTGGCTATTTTATACTAGACTGAGGGGGAAAGCCCATTTAAATACACATTGACTATTTCAAATCTCAGAAAAAAAGTATTTGATTTTAACAATTATAAATACACTTATTTATTTAATTATTTGTGTGTTTGTTTGTTTGAAAGATTTTGCTTCTAAGTAATCTCTACACCCAACATGAGGCTCAAACTCACAACCCTGAGATGAAGAGTCACACACTCCTCTGACTGAGCCAGGTAGGCACCCCTATAAAAATACTTTAGTGTTTCCTTTTCATAAAGGGGCCATGGTTTTGTTCTAGAAGTAAAACTAACACTTTGTTTTATTTCTATTTCTTTTGTCTGAGGGCAATATTTTGGCTGTTCAGCAAGGTCACTGTCCCAACTACCCAGTCTGCTGTTGTCACATGAAAGTAGCCGTAGATAATATGTAAATGTGGGCAGGGCTGTGATCTCATAAAACTTTGTTTAAAAAACAAAAGACCAGCCTACAAGCTCTAGTTTTCTGACTCCTCTTCTATGCTAGTAAGTAAAGACCACCAGAAACAGCTTACTCTTACCCAGAAGAGTAGCAGTACAGAGAGTCCTGTCACAGGGCTGTATCCGATCTCCAGCTAGCCCACAGGAAATCTGATAGTCTTGCCATCCCAAAGGACTTCACACTGGTCTATTACATGGTGACATAATGATTGGAACAAGTGAGAATTCACAAGGATGCTTTATGATTCTCAAGGCATGTGCCAGAGGGTGGAAGATAAACTCTCAATAAGTTCAGGGCTTGCTAATTTGGTCAAGTGCCTAGGAATCCAGTGGTTCAAGGCCTGTCAAGTTATAGGGAGGGAAGGGGGGGAGATTAAATTTCTGCAACTTGCATCCCCTACCACTAAGAAACAATTCCTAACTCATACTGCATATAGTTTCAGAAAGTTACCTGACTACCCTTGAAGGTAATGAGTCAGATATTATTTGTTGGTACTTAGCATCATTTCCATTCCCTTTATGCTCTCCCTTTCATCATAGGAGCTGGATGAATGAGAACTACATTTCCCATAGTCCCTTGTGGGAGTGGTTCCCAATCCAGTTTAGGTTCTGCCAGTGAGATGTATACATGCATGGATTAGAAGGCAGGAGAGAAGTAGGAGCTATTCCTCTTTCTCCTGCAGCGGTGGTGGAAATGTGAACTTAAGACAGGACTTTTTGCATCAATTTCCCTTCCTGCTTTTTATCCCAAGGCTGCAAGGCAACCATGATCACTGATTTCCATCTCTTGCGGTTTTTTTCTGACTTCTGCATGAAAGCAAGGAATTTCAGATTGTTTTAGTGAATCTGGAAGCTGGGGGCAGCTCCCCAACTTTCACTCTGTAGGCCCCATCGAAAGTTCATAAGTACCTATTTCTCTGGCTTTAAATATTTAAATTGGTTTCTACTTTCTTGACTGAGCTTTGACTGCAGACAGAAACAGGATCTAATTCATTTTTGCAGTTTCTATATTACTCAAGAAAAGCTGTTGATGAAGTGCAGCAGGATGACTGAGTAGATCCATCGCACGCATGTTCTAATAATTTTGTCATGAAGCCCTTCATGGCATCATTCTATATCTTATAATGGTGCGGGTCATTATTGTTTGTGCCCAAATCTCAAGCAAATGAGTCCTCCTTAGGGATTAGCACAGCATATTATCACTCCCTGCCATCTGGCAGGCTGATATGAAGAAATAAACAAGATATTAGTTGAGATAAACAGTTTTTGCTGGTTTAATATCATATACCATTTGACCTTAAGTTTTGGGGCCACTTGGGCACTATCTCTTAGTAAATAACTTCAAGAGCACAGATAATAGTAAAATGTTATAAAATAATCAAGAAGTGGTGTGCTTTGAATATTTATTATCCTGTTTTTTTTATTAACAGCTTATTGACATATAATTCAACTGAATGCACAATTAAAGTGCAAAATTCAATGGTTTTTAGTATATTTACAGAGTTGTGCAACCATCACCATGATCTAATTTTAGAACATTTTCAATATTCCAAAAAGGAACTCTGTGGAACAGTGCCCCATAGGATTAATGAAGATAAGACTATTGGGAAATTTAAAGTTTATTTTTCAGAGACCTGTTTCTCCCTAATTAGCTATTGTTTCTTTTCAAACCCCACTAACAAACCACTAGCTGTCTCTGCAGAGGCCTGGACTGACACAAATGAAGGTCATTGATATGGTTCCAGCCTATAAATGAGCAAGGCCCTGCATTCCTTACCTGAGATAATGACCCCAAGATCCATCTCAGAGCATGCCCATAGCCCATCTCCTTGTCCTCCAGATGAACTCCTGATGCCAACATTTGCCTCATTTTAAAGTTAAGTCTCCACCCCCAAAATGAACATGGGATGTATGTTACATATATGTTTGCTCAATGCACATGCTCCATCTTTCCTCACCAATAGTATAAATTTTCCTGCCCTTTTCATCAATATGTATGTGATCCCAACTCCTATGACTATAAAAACTTATTCTAATCCTTAGTCGAGTGAGCTACCCTTTTGTCTCCTCATTTGGCTGCCTCTGGAATAAACCCTTTCCTTGCTACACACCCGATATCTCAGTGATTGGCTTTGCTGTGTGTTCTTGGGTTTAGTTGTACCTGTGACTATTCCAAGTTATCACCCTCTCTCTCCCCTCGAGCCGTAGGCAACCACAAATCCACTTTTTGTTTCTATGAATATGCCTAGCCTGAACATCCCTAATTTTCCCACATCCTCAGCAATATTTGTTATTGTCTATCTTTTTGATTATAGCCATCCTAGTGGGTATGAAGTATCTCGTTGTGGTTTTAATTTGCACTTCCTTAATGACCAAATATGTTGAGGATCTTTTCATGTGCTTACTGGCCATTTGTATATCTTTGGTAAAATATCTGTTCAAATCATTTATCTGTCTTTTAATTTGGTTATTTTTAAAAAGTATTATTGAGTCAAAGGTGTTTAAAAAAAAAAAGTCTTCTAGATACAAATCTCTAACCAGATATATGATTTGCAAATATTTTGTCCCATTGTGTGGGCTGTATTTTCACTTTCTTAGTAGTGTCCTTTGAACTTTAAAATTTTGATGCAGTCCAATTTATCTAGTTTTTTATTTTTGTCATTTGGGTTTATGGTGTCATATTTAAGAAATCATTGCCTAACTCAAGGCAAAAAGATGGAATCTTATGTTTTCTTCTAAGAACTTTATACTTACCATCATTTTTAATATAACTTATTTAAATATGTTTCTATAATTTAATTTTTAATAATAGCTGGTCTTATTCACCAGGTCTCAGTTCCAGAAGTTTAACAATTGGCTCTTGCAGTCTGGCGTGAGCCAGCTCCAGCTCATCATTGGTACCAAGAGTGTACAGGGCTGGGTGGACCTAGAATAAAAACATTAGAACCAATAGGAGAAAGAAGCTGCTGGTCACTCACCCAGATCACTCATCCAGGAAAGCAGGGGTGCCCAGGGGAATCTAACCTCACTCCGAAATCTGGTCTTCCTAAAGGCAAGTAGAAAATTAATCTAAGGCTAATCCCATGAGGGACTCAGGTGTGGTTCCAGAAACAGCAGTTAAGAATGGGATTCCTTTGGACTAAATCAGAAGACAAGTTGGGGGCTGGTGGTGGCAGCATTAGATTGATTTATATTCTATAAAACCCAAGAGATTAGCGACCAGGGAAATGAGTTCTAACTGAGAGAAAGAACATTGGTAGGAAATAAATGCGGTAGTGGCTCAAGTCATTAGATGGAACGCAGAGAAAGCTCCCATACTGTCACCAGACAGATCACCAGTCTTTGTGGAGTATGAAAGCAAAGTCAAATGATACTAACTACTCTGGGCTAGACCCATTGACTGGTAAGGAATATGAAAACTTGAGAGAGACAGAGGATACCAGATTTCAGAGTTAGCAAGAACAAAGGATTGAAGGACATCTCGTTCTGGTAGAATATCATTTGAGGTATCTGAATTACTCTCCCCTCACAACACTTTCTCCTTGATCCCTTGCTGCCAAAACCAACTAGAAATATTGGATGAACTATGTAAAAATATCTTTAAATGTTTCACAGAGTTGGCAGAACATTAAGGGATCTATAGAAACAACAAAAAAAGGAAAAGAAAAAGAGTCCTGAAAGACAAATGATCTGTAAAGCTGATGTTCATCCTTATGATCAACCTAAGGGACCTTTGAGTGTACATTTTGCAAATTACACAATACGCAGAAGATAGAAGATACAGCTAAGGAGCTATGCAAGATTGTTCCATAGATTTGAGATTCTAATAGGCAACGCTATCAGTATGAGTGAGCAAGAAATGAATCTATCCTAAAGAAGAAGATCTTGCAAATTTACCTGTCTCAACCTTTGCCCTGGGAGAATGGGGGAAAAAAATTCCCTAAGACTTCATAACCTTAAGCAAGTCCTTATGGGGGTTTGAGGCCAAATTCAAGCTACCTATGTGTAGGGTTGCCAGGTTTACCAAATAAAATAGAGAATGCCCAGTTAAACTTGAATTTCAGATAAACAATGAATAATTTTTTACTATAAGCATGTCCCAAATATTGCACTAGAAAAGAGTGTATAGAAATGAATAGTGGTGGCTTTGAATGCATAACAGAACTTGTACTTAATTTGGTAGGCAATCTTAACTGTATGAGAAATCAGCCTCAAAATCTCATCACAGATAGCAAACCAGCTTTCAGAGTCCATGCTCTTAACCATTCCACTATGCTATATATGGATGAGGATGCCTATTTACAGAATCCAGTGAATTTTTGGCAAAACATTAGGCACTTGATAAGTATTTGACTATTAGAAAAATTTCAGTATTGCTGATGATTTGAGAAGTACAACTGTAGGGGCACCTGGCTGGCGTAAGTAGGTAGAATGAGCTGACTCTTGATCTCGGGTCATGAGTTCAAGCCCCATGTTGGGAAAAGAGCTTACTTTTAAAAAAAAATAGGGGAAGGAAAAAAAAAAGAAAAGCAACTGTAAACATTTGGAAAGTACCAAATGAATAGTAAATTCAATACAGTGAGGGCTTTTGGGGAGCAGATACCTGGCCTTTACACTATCTTTTTTTCTTTAACCTGTAGAACAATCTGATATATTACTAATAAAATTCATTAAAAATCAAACAAGTTTCTCTTAACTTGGTAAGTTTACTTTTGATGTATGCATCAAGAAAATAATACAAATGAAAGGGGAAAAAAGTCCAAGGATATTTGAACTTTCCTATAGTGTTGTCAAAATGATCAAGATTTAGGGACTGGCATAATACCACAAAACATTATACCATAGTGCAAATTATGCTATATATATAAAATATATATATATATATAAAATATCTATATATAATAGATATTTTTAAATAGCTATTGGAAAAATATTAAAGAAAAAGGTGGTATAAACTATTGTATATTATTTATATGGAGAAATTATATTTAGAAAATGTACTGTGTTACTACAAAATGATAAAGATTGAAAGTCAGAGGACCTTGGGTTGACACCTTATGATGAGGGGATTTTTGCAGTTTTATTGGTTATAGTTATTTTGGCTTTGTTTCATCATATAGCTAGATCAACAGAAAATAAAAGATATTTTTTTATTTGAAACCACATAATATTTAAGCAAAGGGCTGTTAGGTAGTGAATATATTAAAATAGATGACTATCACTAAGGAAATCCTTTACTGTGTCAGGGAAAAGAGACTCAAGTTTCCTCCAACTCTGATTCTATTTCTTTCCGGCACTTTAAAACTTTTTCTATTTTTTTCATTCCTTATATCATCTAATTGATACAGGATTCAAAGAAAACCACATAATATAATTGCCAACTATACTCTGATGGGCATGCAAATAAGATTAGTCTTGCTAGTGCCATCTTGTGTAATATTGTTTTAAATATCAATTACACAACTGAAAAATGAGGAATACTTATGCCAAGTAAGCAATAAGGTGATTAAATTTGGAAAGATGTGAAATCTGCTAACCCAGGTATTAATATCCTATTAATATAATCTGTTACTATGTTGCTGAAAAAGAATCATAACATGCATTTAAAATGGACAAGGAGAAGTTCAAACATAAACCACATCAATACCTTCAAGCACATTAAGAGGACAGTGAAACCAACAAATAATATTTAGCCCCGATGACCTACAAAGTAGAATCTGACATAGCTTGTAACACTTTCATTTCAGTATTCAGAAGATCTTACCAGAAAGTAACAACAAGAAATCACTAATGCAAAATGGTCTATTGGAAAGCATGATGGTTGACATGATTTATATGATACAAAAAATAGCCAAGAAAACATGTGGTTTTGAGCTAAATCTTATAGGATAAACTATCAGATGAGAAACAAATTCCCAGCACTAATCAAATTCAGGAAGCCTAATTAGAGCTGTTAAGCCTAATCTCACAATTGGCATGTGACCAAAACATGGTCAGAAGTACCAACTGCTTTAGTGTATAAAAATAGAGATTATCTCAAGACCAACAGTATAAGAACATTATTATCTCTAAGTAATGATACAAACTAGTACATTCCTCATAATATTAAATGATCCCATTTCATTTGATTGAAGAAAAAGAATCATGGTCTTGATGAATATATTCTTACGGTGATTATTTCTTATTTTTACCTGGAAAGGAAGAAGTGTAGTAAGTATGTAGTAATTCAGGAAGCTGATGAAATGTATTCAAAGGAAAAAAAAGATTCTGATTGTAATCGCAAAGACAATGAAAGTGTTCTATCCATCATCCCCTAACTCCATACACTCTCCCTGGGTGTCCTCAAACAAACCCATAGTTTCAATGACCACTTGTATGTCTCTAAAACTTCTAAATCACCCAAATTCTTCCTTCAGTGTCTTCTCCTCCCAGCAAATGATTCCACCACCTATTTTCATGACAGCGTTAGAAAGTAATTCCCTTGACACAGCCCCATCCAAAAACTTAACAGAATCCATCTATCCTACCAATCCTTCCTATTTCTCTTATCTAAGATCAATGCCTTCATCTTGTTCTGACGTTATACTCCTAATATTACTTAACCGGTTTTATTCCTTTACTGTATCTCTCTCTACTAGTTCCTTCCCATGGGCATTTAAATGGAATGGAGTTGAATGACACTCCCACCCCTCAAAAGCTAGTGAAACTGCTCAAATTCTGGTGGAACATGAAAGTCCCACCATCCATGTACAATTGCTGCAAATTCTTACGCACTTACAACCATAGGACCCTCCCAGCCTCTAAGCAAGTTGTCCTCCTGTGCTCTGTGTTCCTCAGCCTTCTCTTTGGTTTCTACAATGAAATTGCTCACACTTAAAATTGATGGATTTAATTATTGATTTTACTCAAGATGCCTGAGGCATGAGGAGAAGGGTTGCATTACCCCACACACACTTACTGTCATCTTGCTCCCTCAACTTGCCCCTCTCCATCCTCTCACTTCTCATTCATCCACTTCATTCTGGATTGCTCTGAGAACTCCCAACTCACCCCACTTCTAATGTCTTGGTGCCAATCAATTTTCTCTTTCTCCACATTATTGTTTGCTAAGTTTTGCCAGGGCTTGTCTTGCAATCTCTTAAATCTAGCATTTCCATTTCATTTCTGGGCCAACACCTTAGTTCAAGTCTCTGCCTCTCATTCTTTGATGACTACAGTACCACAGTGAACTAACTAGACTTGGGGCTTTGACTCTCTCTGCCTTCTCCAGTAAATCCTACACAGACATAAGAGATGTGTCTTTCTGAAGCCATCATTCACCATGTCAGTTCCAAGGTCAGAGGTCTTTAGCAAATCCCAATTCTTATGTAATAAAGTCCCGATTGCTTATCCTGGCATTTAAGACCTTCTATAATCTGGTCCCAACCTAATTTTCCAGCCTTATCTCCCAGACCTCTGAACCAGTCAAACTGGTAGACCCACTCTCTCGTACCTACTTGCACAGTCCTGACTTCCAGCTTGGAATGTGTTACCCCCTGTGCTCTAACTCTCTCACTCCACTCATTTTCAGACCTGGTCTCAAATACTACCTCCTCTTCCAAGCTTTCCCTGGCTCTCTCAGGAAATCATTATCCTTTGGACACATTATCTCATTTCTTTTGATCTGTATTAGGGTGACAATTGTCTCTGTTTGCTTAGGACTGAGGGGTTTCCTTGGACATGAGACTTTCAGTGCTAAAACTGAACAGTCCTTGGCAAACCAGGACTGTTGGGCACTCCACCTATAATATATGTGGTGAGAGTTCTTGGGAAGGAAGGGAAGGCAGTGACTTTTGTGGAAACCTGCTGTGGAAATTCAGATGTCAGGGCTGTCAACAAAAAACTCCAGGGAGGGAAAAGGAAGGTGAGGACACTTATTGGCCCTAAGGATAGGCCAGGTGGGGCTGAAACCTTTAGATTAACACATAGCCAAAGGGATCCCATTTCTACAGTTCCCTTCTACACACACACACACACACATTAATTTATTTATATTAAATAAATAATTAACTTTGAAGGAATTAAGAAGAGCAAGGGTGAATACAAAGATAC